ATAATCCCACACGGCTGACATTTTCCCCGATATCTTCCAATTCACCTGTTTTAATGGTTAGGCCGGGAGACAGACCCAAAAAGACCTGTTGGTGTGTTGAAGGTGTTCTGGAAAATGCGGACCGGATTCGGGGAACACTGGCGCAAAATAGTGGAATGGATTGTTTCAATCGGCGAAACTGGAAAATACGGACCGGATTTTTAAAACTGGATCGGCATTTTTATATGCTTTGCCGATACGCATTTTTTTGCCAATATCGGCGTCCGATCCGATACGTGGATCGGGACAAGCCTAGTTTGTATGACCGCCATTGTGGAAAACGACTCGTGAAGTTGGACCAGCTAGAAGAGCGAGGTGTGCAAGAACGCTGGGACCCTTTTTCCACCGAGATCCCCGCTTTTTTTCACCCTCATGTCCCTCTGTTGTCGCACAAACTTGCCCCCATTTCCTCAATGCCTCGGCTGTAAAAACCAGGGGTCATCAACCTTTTTAAGGCTGAGGGCTACTTCATGGCTACCGAGTCATAGGAAGGGCTACCAATACTGACCTATGAACTGGAGGGATCAGTGTTCACCTACAGTAAATCTCATGCATAAAAAGTCATTTTTATTCTTATTTTATTCTTTTATTCATTTCTTATTTATATTTTGATATTGTCACTTTGAAACTACAGAAATATGATGAAATAGTTAACATGATGAAATAATACATAAATGATTAAAAAGAAGAGCAACAGAATAAAAAAAAAATTAAACTTAACCCACTGAGTCAGTTGTTCTGTTTTCAGAAGACGAAGTAGGCCCCCATGTGGTCCTTGAGGGCCCCTTGGTGCCCGCGGGCACCACGTTGGTGACCCCTGATCTAGACCCACAGCTAGTTCATGATTGTCCCTCTTGCATTGCGGCGTGGCGTTCAGACCACGCTTCAATATAGGGCATAAATCAAAAACATCTGCGACAAGCTCACTGCGACACACTGCTGCAGGAGTATAACCAGCCCTTAAGCATGCTTGTAGCGACAGTGGAGAGTAAAAACTCCCTTTTAACAGGAAGTAACCTCCAGCAGAACCAGGCTCAGTGTGAGCGGCCATCTGCCGAGGCCGACTGAGGTTCAAGGAGACCAAAGCAGACGTACAGGAAGAAGCAGAGATACAAAAGGAAACTATAAAATGCGCCCCCGTCCAGGAAACAGACAGCCAGGCAGACGAGCTCCGAGCCACCTGCCATGTCATGTCCCATTACTAACCTAGATATTCCCCCCTTGGCAGGGCAGCAAAGGGACGTCCAGTGAACTCCCTGTGGACTGGGGGAGGTTCATAACTGTCATCAGGTGTGTCCTCACATGGATTGTTCTGGAAGCAACATACAGTACCTGTCATGCTTCAAAGAGTATTTTCAGCCAAAACATCTAAACATGACAGGCTTTTTATTTCTATCAGGAAGACTTACATATTCTGGATCAGAGCCTTCATCATTTTCTCTGTGGTCTGCAAACACAGAAATTCGTTTAATCTTAAGTAGAAACAGAAACTCATTGAATTCCCAGGATACCTAAAAAAAAAAAGAACCCAGCAATAACAGCTAATGGGCAGGTGTTGGAACATGTTTTCTAATTTTAGCAAAACACCTCGGCTTTGAGTGCTGTGGGGTAAGCGGACCGTGTCGCCAAACCTCCAGAACCCTGAAATACTCTTTCAGCAGAAGGATTCACATTATAAACAGAAACTGCTCTGAATTAGCTCCGACGGTTTCTCAGACAATTGCTGGGGAAGTGAAACTCTATAGAACCAAAAGCTCTTATCAATTAAGAAAAAAATAACGATAAGACATTTCTATTGCCTCATTTAAAACCTGTAAATTTGAACTATGTTTTTTTAATCTTTCGGCATTCAGGGTTAATGTTTTTGTGTGATAACTGTAACTTTTAAGGCTATTTAAAGGAATTGCTCTGCTAATTGAGTTCTTACCTTTGTAGTCTCTGGCAGGAAGGTTTGGACGTGGTTTGGTTTTCAATCTGTTATAAAAAAAAACAAACAGTGGGAATACTTATGTATGATCAAGGGTTTATTGTCCTCTGCCACAACCGTTGGGACACATTGGCTGGCAATACTGTGAATACAGAATTTAAAAAGACATTTCTTCAGGTAACTGTTTGAAAAAAAGGTAAAAATAACAGAATTATGGCTTTCAAGTGTTTTGTTTTATTTTTGATCATTATGATCTACTGATAATAAAAACCCAACACTTTTTCTACAGAAGATGAAACTTGGTTAGGGCTCCTTTAGCCTGATGCATGTATTGGCGTCATGGAGGCGATCATTCTGCAGCTCTGAGCACAGCCTGCTTTACAGCTCTTAACGTCCTTGGAAGTAATTTGAGCTGACCTTGGACTTGATAAAACAGAGCATACCAACACCAACGGTTTGAAAAAAAAAATCTCTCTGTAAGCTTTAGCCTGAACCTCAAACAACTTTCCTCCCACTCTTCCTTCAGGATCCATAGGACCCACATTTCCAAATAAAATGCATGTTTCAGCATGTTTTATTTTCATCTGAAGGGAGAAATTAGGTAATAAGCTTGGATCCACAAGGAATGTAGCAGATGTCGCCCATGTTTTGGATATTTCTGTCTATGGAGGAGTTTGAGGCACCAACTGCAGCCACAATCCAAGCATTGCTTATCTCCACCAGACATACAAATGAGTTAGGTCATGTCTTAATGAATAGTTATACCTGTTGCTGGAGCACTTGTATTCTCACAGCTTTTCCTTCCACTAAATTCACATTAATATTGTTTGATAAGAAATTCTATGAACATCTAACTACTGAAGCTGTGATATTTTGTGGATGTTCTCATCGACCGCCTGCTGGACATCTAGCAGTTAAACAGTTACCCAATTACGATGAGATCTTTATCAAAAAATAAACACATTTTTTTTTCTGGACCTGTTCAATAATAGATGATGGTAACTATAAGCCAATAGTCATTGCAATGACTGGAAATAAAAGCTTGAAATGCTCTCAGTGTGATGAATCTATGCAATATAGGAGTCTCACTTTTTGACCTAAATTATTCAAGTTAATCCGACTTGTGTGCACATTCACAAAGCAGAGTGCGGATGAATAGCATGTGCACCATGTGCTTGTGCCTCTGCTCATGTGTCTTGAGGCGGACTCATTTCAGGAAAGGAAAGTGAGAGAGCAGCCATCTGTTTTAGGTATTTTGGTCCATGTGCTGTTCTCTCTTTCCAATGTTTGTGAAAGAGGAATTGGCATTCTCCACTGATGCATGTACTGTACGCAAACCACATGGAGGATTTTTAGATCAGAAGACTTCTACAAAACCTTTCTTCCCATGAATGAAATTTCAGTCTTGCACTTTTCTGGATTTAACTCTATTTATGAGCTCTTTCAAAGAAGTGCAAATGGTAAAAATACTGAATAGATTTTATATAAAAGCATTAAAGCACAAACACAAGAATATGGCATGTCACAATGACAGCTGCAGAGATTTCAGAGACTGACCTTCTGATTTTATTCAGCAGACTGCCATCATTTTTCTTGATGTCTTGAACCATTTTCTGAAGTTGCCTGAAAGACACAATAATATTAATCAAAGCTTTGTAATTAGAATAGAAATCCCTTCATTTTAGATTAAAATATAGTTTAAAAAAAAAACTAATTTAGGTTGCTAAGTTCTGTTTTTAGAAATAAAAAACCCATACATCTAGTTGTTTGGGAAAAACCCAGCCTTACAATGTTTTGTCCGCTTCTTTTTAGTGCAGCTGTCGTAATTCAAAATCAACCTCTTACCTAATCTTTGCTGTGGCAGGCGCCGCAAGTTTAGTCAACGCATCCATATTCACATTTAATCCAAGAGTTGTCATTTTCTGATCCGTACTCCTCTCACAGATTTAGATTGTGCTGCCAGGTTATTCACAGGTTAGCAAATGAATGCTCTGTATGTCTGTCTTTAAAAAAAAGGGAGTGCTTTTGTTCCAGTTGCTTGAGTCGGAAAAAAAAAACATCACTTCTCGTTTTTGACCACACTTTCTTGCATCACATGTTTTCTGATTTTCTTCTATGTTGCCCTTTTCCAGCCGGAATTTTTTTTTTCTCACAACCCCATAAGACTATATCAAACATGATGAAAACTTGAAAATATACTTTAAATCACATTAAAATATGATAAGTCGAACAAAGGGAAAGTTGCTGTTTAGATGTGATGCGTCGAAACAATAGGCCATTAAAACATATTCATGCTATGACGAAAAAATAGAACCTATTAGAAGATTCCATATTTTTAATAGAGTGATAAAAGACGTGTCTATGTGTAGTCTGAGGCATCTTTCAAAATCTGGTCATGACTATTTGTCATGTTGCAATACCAGGTTTTTGCTATTTATAGAGAATGTGTCTGCGGCCTGTCCTGCCACCGGAAGATGACCACCACATAACGTTATGCATTGTTACCACGGTGATTTTTTTTTCATTTGGTAGAATAAACTGTTGCCTCAGCACATAATAGCTGAGAAAAACATGAAACCTCTTTGTGATACAACCATATAATTCACTGACAAGCCTTTTCAGATGTTCACAAAATTGTTCCAATTTGATTCTTATGAGATAAAAAGTGGCAGGAAGCGTCATGTGGTTAATATTTGAGGCCACTGAATTTTAACATCCTGTTTGGTCATTTCCTAGGAAAATTAATATTAGCCTCAATATGAAAAAAAAGACACGCAGAGGATTACATCATTTTTACATTTAAAGCTCAAAATAATCTTCTTTCCAGATTATAGATTAACTGGATCCTTGAAACTCTAAAAGCTTAAAGTGGCAGATCTTTCAGGTTTGAGCTTCCTCTTCTGTGGAACAGACTCCTTGCTATTTTCTCTCTATTATTTCCATGAATCAGTGGTGTCAAAAGTACACACATCTGTTACTTTAATAGAAGTATAGATACTGCAGTTTAACACTCTGGTAAAAGTTGAAGTATCAACTTGACCTCGTTACACAAGTAAAAGTGAAAAAGTATGTGCTCCAAAAACTACTTAAAGTATAAAAGTATAAAGTAACCTTTAAAAAAAAACCAGCCAGATGCCACTATATGAATTGAAAGCTCAATTTTTCGACTATTTGGAAAAATTTCTTTGAGATAGGGTCAAGGATGAGGGAGGTCTTTTTGGTCTCGACTGTGTCTGACCTTTCAGACATTTCAACATCTTTTTCTGAATCCAACATTGTAGCATGGCATAGACAATTTGCAGTTTGAAGAACACCTGCTTGCTTCGGATGATTTCCTTTAGCTAAACAATGAGTGTTTGCTTTATATGACTCATCCAATTACACTAGTTTTCACTAGATGTGGATGGAGCCAATGATCTGCATTGCATGGCGCATATGATGTGAAATAAACATCATAAACATTAAATCAAAGCCAAGAGTAACGAGTAACGTTTGTTTTAAAAATCTAAGGAATAGAAAGTACAGATATTGGTTTGAAAATGTTATGAGTAGAAGTAAGAAATAGGAAGAAAAATAAGTAACGGAGTAAAGTATAGATACCTAAAAAGTGTACTTAAGTACAGTAAGGAAGTTACTTGACATCTCTGCTATAAATGAGGATATATCTAACCTTTTAATTTTTATTATTGTTTTGACACTGATAATAAGAAAATATTAGGCTAATCTGAGCATTCTCTTTATTTATAACCTATATACATGGAGGACACTGATTGCTTTAAAATATTAATTGAATACATATTTTCAATTGAGGCATTGTTTTTACCTATTAGTAATATTTAAGTTTGAGTTCTCCATTAGCGTTCTCTCACCACAGATGTTATACGTTCTGAGTTTGGCTGTGACTATTTCCTGACCAGTGACTCACTTCAAAAACGATCTAAAAATTAGTAAAAAATGTCTTAACTTACGGTAAGTGTATTTACCCTTACTTTGAGCAGGTAAATGAGATAGTTTGCCAACGGAATGAGCAATTTTACTTTTAAAATCAGATATTTAGATAATATGAACTTGAAATAAGACAATGCAATTGTGTTTTCTAATTTTAAGTGTAAATTGTCTTGTTCCATTGGCAAAATGTCTCCTTTACCTCCTCAATCCAAGAACAAATGCACTTATTCTAAGAAAAAATGACATTTTTATGCTTCTTTGTGCTTCTTCCATGAACAAATACTTTAAATTTTCTGCAACTTGCATAAACTTTAGTTTTTAATTTCCATGCAATAAATCCTAGAATCTTATGTGTCTTTTCCCTACAAAGCCATTTATCTAGTAGCTTTTTGTGTTTCTTTACCATAGATGACTTTTATTTGTATCTCTCCTCCCTGAACAGAGACAGTGATGGAGCTATTACCACCATTAACTTGATACTATGTGAAACGTATACCTTGGTCTATTGCTCATGCCTTTTTTTTTGTTTTTTAAATCTGCTTCCTCTCCTTTAAACCTCATATTGGTTGTGGCAGATGATCATACAGAGTCGGGTTCGGCTGAAGGCTTCTTCCTGTTTAAAAGAAGTGGTTCCTCTCCAGCTTTACCAGATGTCTTCTCAGGATGTTTACTAATACAGACAATTTTTCACTGAGTGGTATTATACGCTCAGCTGAATTTGGCTGTATTGCATGGTGACCATAAAGCTGTAATTGATTTGGCTTAGAATTTGATTGTATATTACTGGATATTATTAATAGTTTGTCTGAAATGTTTATATAAATCAACCCAACTGAACTGAGCTGCTTGACTATATCACCAAGTAGATTTGTAAGACCTATTCTATGTTGAGCCGTGTGAGCCAGCGGGACATGTTGCAACATCGCTTTCCTGTAGCATGTGAGGAATACTTTGAGTTGCAATGTGTAGCTGTTGCACAGAAAAATCACGGCACAATAAAACGGCAGGTCGGTACTTGTTGTGCGGCTTTTCAAATTTCAATTCCTGGTTGAGCAAGTGCACAATGAACAACAACAATACTGGAAACCAGAAGGAAACTGGTGAGAACAACAATTTGTATTCGCCCCATGGGAGTCAAGAAAAACCCTGAACTGAAAAAAAAAAATGCACTAGTTGAAGGAAAACTTTAATAGCTGGAGAGGTATGTAAGCAGAGTCCTACAGTTTGTGTTAAATAATACATCTTGTAAACATTTTGTAAATGTTTTTTCATTGGTTGCTTTGGAAACCTCTGCTCCAGTTACTCTTTGCAGCTTCTGCAGCTCTGCTTGCGGTTGACTTAGCCTTATTCTCATCAACTCTGACCAGCTTTTCTGTAAATGCTGAAAGAGAAATATTTCCATTGCATGTCGTCACAAAATTCACTAGCACAAATATATTTTTCTTTTATAAATTATGATGGTCTTCAACAAAGGGCCAATTTGTGGGATGCTGATTTTCTACCTGAGCTTTGGATCCCAGCAGAGTTACTCTAAGCCCCTTTGCCTATTTAGTATAATTAACGCTCTGCTGGTCGTGGTACGTCTGCATTATTACCATATTGTGAACATTTATATAACTAATTTTAGTAACTAAATGTGCTTTTAAATCTCTCCTCCTTCTTCTTTGTGATTCACTAATGTTTTCTAACAACCCTCTGAGGCATTCACAGAGGAAATTAATTTATACAGCTTGAATTACACAGAAGTGGACTCTTTCTCCTAATGAGGTGATTTCTAAAGCCAATTGTTTGCACATAATCTTTTAGGAGCAATAGAGAGAGAGCACAGCTTAAAAGATGCCCATCCAAACCTTTGGTTGTGATTGGACTAAATGAAAAAGGTTCATTAGCTATGATTATAACAGATATTCTGTTGTCTTTTTTTGCTGAATCTGTATGATATCCATTGAGCTGAAGCTGCCCCTCCTGGGGTAGTTTTTATGTCTTTGTCTTTGAGCTGCAGATGTATTCCACAGTCAATTGTCAGGGGCTGCCTGCCTCTCAGTGGGACACATTCCTGTGAGATACGCAGGATCTCAGTCTGTGAAACTTTATTAAAATATCTATGGGAGGTATCTGGCTTTTATATTATTAATATATTAATTTTTTTAGTTTCCTATGTCTTATGAGTTTTGGGTTTAATTCTTTTCCCGAAACAAGAGTAAGATGCAATTGATCTCCAAACTTTTTGAAAGAACTCCTGCTTGTATGTTGATAACTTTTCCTATATGTCGCATATCTTATTTAACATGCAGTCAATTTTTATTAAGAGAGCTTATATAACTGAAACGGACCAAAGTTTGGCTCAGAATATGTTAAAAAACAAAAAAAATTGCATAACACAAACACAAAACAGAACACTCGAATACAAAATAGGTAAAAATAAAATGTTCACAGCTTTTTTTTTTTTATTGCGTATTTCTCAATCAAAGTTTATAAAGAACAATTTTTACTTTAATCATTAAACTGAACACAATTTCTTAATGGAAGGAATGAAGACGGCCCAACTAAATGGGAGAACTATTTTAGGCTGACAAAAGGTTACATAACCCATGCATGCTTACACAGGCAAATATGTGGAAATTATGAATCAATCTATCTATCTATCTATCTATCTATCTATCTATCTATCTATCTATCTATCTATCTATCTATCTATCTATCTAGCTAGCTAGCT